AGGACGAAAGGACAGGGGAAAGTAGGGACGAAGTGAAGTGAAAGGAAGGGATGAAAGGGGAAAGTTTAAAAAAGATCCTTTTTTAAACTTTGATACGCGTAATGCGTGACGTTTAATTAAACTATTCAACCAATGTCTAATCGTAGATCATGGTCGAATTTTTAATTGAATATAGGCTGGCCTTTTTTGACTAGTGAAATCGGAAATCGGCTATGCCGAATGTCACCTGATATACAGACGATCGTCAATTATTAGCCGAAATTTAGCCAAAATAAGGACGATTTGCCTTATTTCCGATTTGCCTTATTTCGACTAGTGATAGATCTTAGGCTAAATAAAAATAAAATTTAATAAATATCGTCTAACTCATCTATGTGATTAGTTTTCATTGAAGAGCTTGAATGCCGTTGCCTGATCATAAGGATGTCCTCTTTTTCAAAAATTGATTATAGTATAGTTTTGCGCTGGGGAGGTATGGTTATGTGGCGAATGTCGAAAAGCTTGACTGGCGATGGTCATAGCATCTGATAAATTCTTCGCACCATTCAATACGACTGCAAATACTGCCCCTAATTTGCACAAATAGCTAGGAAGAAGTGGTTTACTGGTTTCAGGAAGAAATCTATTTTTTTTCAGAAATGTATTAAACCATTTAACTCCTGGCACTCCTGGATCTCTCAACTGTTCAGAAGAAATTGCATCCTGAATCCAAGTAAGGAGAAGTTTAGCCCGCTCTTCATCCCTTTCTAACAATCTAAATATCCAAGAATTATCCTGTTAGTCTCAGTTTTTTGTGTATCCAGTTACACCTCCACTAGATATGCGCAAGTCTTTAATTTCAACGGGACGGGCGCAGAGCATTATCATTACATCGGCTAGGGCTTGCACATCAGGTATGTTAGACACATCATAGAAATTGAGTCTCTTCTTAACCGATTCTAACGAGAAGTGATCTGGAAAATCAATTCCTTCATTTTCACATTGATCCCTACGCTCTTTTTGAATCTTATTAGATGCACAGGTTGTTTTTTCGTCTAATGTAGTAGAGATTATCTTTTTTAGGGCATTGAGTTTCCGCAACTATCATCAGAGTCTACTAAGATGGGATGTGGTGGCAACAGGGTTAGGAGTAGTTAAAGCCTTGGCTATCGCCTTTACTTCTTTTTCACCAAAATTATCTCAAACAATACGCTGGGCTATACTTTTGATGGTTTTTCTGTCTGGGATGATATTGGATATTTGGCATATATTAACTTCTCCTGCTTCATCTCCTCCTTCTTTGGGGATTACTCAACTTCTACTTCAGCAAATTCTCTGATTGGTGACTAATACAAACGCCTGCTCTTTACTAAAGCCATACTCTTCCTAAAAGTGCTGGCGACCCTTATTTCTTTTCAGTTTATCTGTCAAAAGCTCGAGTAATGCTAGGATGTGCTGGCTAAGTTCTTCATTAATCATATCTTTATTGAGTTTGTGCCCTGCAACGTACTTTGATACAATCGCAGACATAGCTGGGTGGATATAGGTTATGGAGTAACTACTAGATTATGTGTAACTGTTAGGTTATTCTATATCTGAAAAAGTTCAATTCAAAAAATATTCTGCCATTTATCTACTCTATGGTCGGTAAAAAACCATCGGAGGGTTAGGACTTAGGAAAAGGGAAAAGAATATTATAATTTATTGCAGGATCTCTATGAGCTCACCCACTCTGGCCAAGATATGTTTTACATTGATTTGAAAATTGTGGGTAGATAGTAAAGCTCCAAACAGTTTGGGCTAAACCGGGGAACCGATCCGAAATCGGCTCAAAATTCGGTTCAGTTCGGTTTGGGTATTAGAACTGAAAAACCGGCGGTTCAGTTCAGTTTAATCCGATTTTTTATAAAAATGCGAAAAATCGAATAGCCGGCCATCTAGTAATCGTACAAAGTCGAGCCATATATCAATGGATTCTTCTCGATGAGACGCGTCGAATGGTGGTAAGATCATGTTTCTAGTATCGATAGATCGTTTTCTAATGCGAATTGTTTAAGAAACACTCACCATGGGCTATCTCACGATCTATCGATGTTAGAGATCTGATTTTACCACCATTCGACTCGTCTCAGTGAGACGAATCCAATGAGCTATGGCCCGTCCTTGTACGATCACTGGATGGTCGTGTATTCATTTTTTCGCATTTTTCTTAATTTCAGATAGAATTGAACCGAACCGGACGGTTCCGGTTCGGTTCCATTTCGGTTTTCGGTTCTACCCGAACCGCAAAAAAACTGAACTGAACCGACCCGTTCAGAACTTTACCCCATTCTAAGGCTATGAACAAATTATCTGTATCAATTCACATTTTAGTAAAATGCTTGCGCTAGAGCTAATATTTGTTCTGGTCCTAAAGCATTCGTCTTAGTGAATGCATCATATAAAGAATTTGGCCTGTACTTTGAAGGGACTAAATTTGGGTGATGGAGGAATTTCATGAGTATGTCATTCCTCCAAACTTTTGTCTTTCTATGTTCCCAAGTTATTCTTATTAATACAGACAAGTTATCACTAGAATAATTCGTTTGTATTAGATTTTGAAGTGAGGATCGTTTATTTTTTTCAAGGGTAAATAATCCCATTCCTTCTATGACAGCAGATTCTACACTAATAGGAAACTTTTTACAAATATTCGATCTAGCTAGAATAGATAAATATGGAATTATAGCCAGATAGTAGAAGTCGGCTAAGGAGTTTAATTCAAATTCACTAACATATATAGTCCCAATATCCTCTAAATAATCCAAAAGTCTATCAGCGTATCTGAACCCTTCATGAATTAACTTTTGGAATAGCTTTCCATTTAGATCGATCTATCGGCCAATTAGTAAATTAAGTACTGTTCTATGTATGTCTATAGCGTTAGTATGAAAAGATACTTTATCTCATTGTAATACCGATTAATTTAAATACATATTTTATTATGAAATTAAAAGTGAAAAGAGGGTTTATATCCTGAAATACTTCTATAGCTCACTTTATTTGCGCACATATCAAGAGAGATGGCACTATTTGTAGAAATAGATGCTGTGATCCTTCCGGTGTAGCCATAGATACTGAAGTAATCGCATAATATGGAGGAATAATATGGAATAAAAGATCAAACAATAGAAAGTCACATGATTGGATAAAATTAATCGGAAAGGATAAACTTTTAGGAGAAGGAATGATCTACATGATGTAATGTTTATTAAATAATTAACGGAGAACCAATAGATCAAGTAGGGAGTTGATCGATGTGGCTTAGCAACCAGTTTATCAAGTTCAACAATAAGAACAATTAGGAGGAGTAATCATAAGCCACAAATGATAAATCATATAAAAAGGAAGGATAGCGAATTAAAGGAACAAAAAAAATAGGAACATGTAAAATATTGATGAACTGCAGCCGCAGTAGAAGAATAGCTGACAAGACGCAGTAAAAAGGATAGCACAGCCACAAAAGATGGATCTTTACGATATAATATTTGAAAGATTATTTTATTTTAAAGAAAAGATAGCACAGCCACAAAAGATGGATTATATCTTTACGACATAATATGCGAAAGATTATTTTAAAGAAAAGATAGCATATTAAAATAGTATAACATATTAGAAAAGATAACATATAAAATAGCATATAAGATAGCGCATAAAAGATAACATATAAAATATTAGAAAGAAATAAGAAGTAAGAAAAGAAAGAATAAGAAAGTTGGTTTAAATAGGAGCGGAATGGGAGGTGAATTCGACAGTCGTCAGATACGATGTAAAACTTTAAGTAAATTAGTTAGTTGTGAATTTTATGAGGAATAAATAAAATACCTTTTATATGAAAATTAATTGTTTTGATTGTTTTTGTTACTATTTTCTTATGATGAAAAAGTAATTTTGTTCAATTAACTGTTAGTAAAGCGTAATGTTATTTAAAGGTAATAGGTTCGCCCTAAACTTTATTGTAATGTTCGCCTAATTAATTTTAATTGGATAAATTCATGGTGAATTTAATGTCATAACAAGAATTATGAAATGAATAAAATATAAACTTTCGTAAAGAGAACTATCGTAAATTTGAAAGAAGAGAAAGGATGAAATATCGTGGCGAAAGCTATCGCAATTTGAAAGTTAAGTAGTAATAAAACTAAACCAAGCAAGAATATTAATGTTTCGCTGAGAATACATATAACAGAAGCAGGGAACTTTGTTTACCGCCGGGTGGCAGACGGGGGTGACACCGGGTGTTATAGGCACTGGAAATTGTATGAAAAAAACATGAAAAAATTTCACTGCCTTGGTTGTGGATTTCCTACCAATTCTCCTACGGGATATTGTTCCAAATATTGTTCCAAGTATTCTGCAAAGTTTCATTCGCACAATTACCGGATGAGGCAGAAATGTAAAGCCAAGACCGAGGCTCTTCAACCCGCAAAGACCTTTGAATTATCGGATGAGACCCTTCAACCCAGAATCCCTGAAGCTCTAATTTCTGAGTCAGATGATAGTAGTGCTTCGATCCATGAACACTTGTTTCCCGCTTCTTCACAATTATTTGCAGATTCGTTAGAAAGAGATTTAACGGATTTGATCCAGGTCAAAATACTAGGTGATAGGGTTGTAATTAAAGGCTCAGCTACAAAGTCACCCAGAGTCTATGAAGATTCAGTTTCTGAGTCGGATGATGAAGATACGGGTCTCAACCTCTTTGGAGATATGTGGTTAGCTCGAAAATTGGAGCACTAGATCCCCTTTGAATTATCTGCCAAAAAGTAAGTAAAAAAATATTATTAGTCAATTATTATATATAATTTTGGTAGAAGCCTACGTCTCAAAGTATGTGACTATGTATCTGACCGGAGCGAGAATTTTTTTAATGATACCTACTTGAATAAGTGTAGTCTTCTTCGTAATCTTATATAAAAAATTGGAAGAAGACTACACTTTTCTAGATATATATTCGGGCATGGCATTAGCACATATCAAATAAATTCTGAATATCTTCTGAAATTTGCGTATTATCAACTTTGCTAGAACTAGAAAGATTACCTAATAATAATTCATCAGATGGGATCTTACTATATCCATATCGAATATCTTTACCATTTTTCCAATAAATTTCTTCCCCTGTTTGGTATGAAGGAAACTTGGGGCGTCCTTGCTATTGAATAAACCAACTAAATGATAATATTTTTGACTCTTATCAACAGCCTTAAATTTCAATCCATAAGTTGTGTAAAGGGATGCATTTAATAAACTAAGTTTCGCTCGGATTGTTTTTAATCCCAATTTTTTAGCACTGCGCGATGCATCTGTATTATCAAATACTCGAGTCATTTTAGGCACTAAACCCTGGAGATACAATATTGATTCAGGAGTACTTAAGCACTTTTTGACATCATCAGATTTATATCGTGTCCTATCATCAATGTCTTTAGCAGGTGTATAGATCCTTAGTAATTCCAAGCAAATTCGATGCTTCTCAGCTCGAGTAGCTATGATAAGTTTATCTTCTCTATAATCTTTGTGAATGATAGCCTCAACAGCTGTTTCATTGTTAATGCCAGCGTCTCGTAACTGTCTATAAGCTCTGAACCATTTCATATGATTATAATTCCCATACTTCGATATGAATTCTTCGGTCAATGATTCAGGCGGAATCTTATAACATTCTACAATATGATGCCAGTCTAAAGATCACATTTCCTCTAAAGTCTTCTTCAGCTTATTTTCCAAAACCTCAGCTATCTCATGATCAAGAATACGGGTATTTGAAATATCTGAAATTTCTTCCATTTTAATGATAGATGAACTCACCTTTACTGTCTGGAATAATGATATCGTATTATCTTTAGGTTTAAAAATAAGTTCTATAATAGAAATTACTATACCCGCATTTCGGAGAAAATCAACCATTCTCCAGCCAAATAAACGATGAGATCAAAATTTTTCTAACATATATGCGACCCATAAACGAATAGTTGGTACTTCCTTATTCTGAATAATAGAGTCGATATCCGGAAATATTCCTCTATTCTGAAGCTCTTGGGGGAGACATTCACGTTTAGCATTCAACAACCATCGAAATAGCACTTCTTCTGTAATGGGAACATTAGACGATTTTTGCTCGATATGACATATATAATCTTTAATGCACCACATGCAAAATAACATCTGATTCGTTCTGGCGTTTGTTTCTATATAGCTATTAAAGAGACAAAATGCTCGCTTAAAATTAGGATTAATGCAAGATAATCCTATTTTTAGAGTGCAACTAGGTCTACGGCTTTTCATGCTTCTTCAACGTTACTGAAATCGTGAGCCTTTTCTACCGGATCAGATTTACCATATTCCTTAATCCGTAGTTCTGGAAAATCGGTCTTAAAAGCACGAACAATCCCTTACACATCCTTTTTGAGATGGCAAATAAGCGAAACGCTTTTCTGATTCTCAAAATGTAGTGAAGACATTTGTTTGGCCCAATTCCAGAGTTCAGCTAATACAGTTTCTTTATTGGGAGCCAAGCGGAATGTCTTACCTTCCTGTGGTTGATAAGTGTTATGGATAATTGAAAATACTCTATTCTTGCGAAGGGCCTTAATCCATTCAATGTTGAGGTCAGTTAAGTCATTGTCCATTACAATAATGCACCTCGCATCTTGTATTAATTTATATAATTTTTCTATCGATTGTCATGCCAAACAACTTTGTGCTTGAGCAATTATAGACACTATTTCATCAAGCCACAGGTCATAATGGATTGGAAGACATTTGCATTTTTTATTACATTTACAATTATTGGTAATACGATGTAAGCTTTCTATCTGACATACTACCCTCTTATGATCAGGTAGATTTATATTACCATTGATATCGCAATATGACTTAAGATTAAGCCTTGTAGTAACAGCGTTTGAGTAAAAATGGCGCGTGGATAATACTAGCAAATTTACATCATTAGGGATAGCCAAATTTTCAAGAATATAGGTTTTTCCTATTTCCCAAGGCGATCCCACATAAATATCGTCTTCATTGGGTAATGGTCTTACATACCTTTCATTATAAGTTTCTGTAGCCGTAAGGGTCTCACTATATTTGACCCAAGATGGTATTTTTACAAAGGCTTTAGGGAAGCCCAGAGCCTTTACCTTATAGGAGGATTGTAGAGGATTTTTATTTTCTTGCTGAATTTTTTCTGCAATAGATGGGTCGCATTCAAAAACTTCCCCTGGTTCATCACTACATTGCCAGAAGCATTTTACAATGAATGTTCCACTGCTGGTATATACATGACCGAACCACCACTGATCCTTGTCATGTATACGTTTACATAGTGAACATTCTAGTAAAGCTTTTCGGTTAAAATATACGAAGTTTTGCGAATCATTTTCCTCGATATTCCAATCCCTAAGATAGTTAGAATGCTTTTGTAAAACTAAGTTCGCACATTTTTGTAATATATTCCGACCCACAGATATTCTTAGTGAATTATTATTTTTTTCTATGCTAAGCATTTGAGGACTTACTTCAAGTCCTAAGCTAGTAAGTGGTTGAACCCTAACGTGGTCGAACTCATTCCACCCATACATTATCTAGTGAGAATTAAAGAATACGCTTTACATGACCTTTTTTTGCTGAACCGATAAGGCGAAGGTTAAAATTTTGACCAGGTAACCCTGATCAATATACTTGCCAAATTTTTCCCCAGTTAAGGTATATACTAATTCGGTAAATGCTTTGAGTTTTTGATGATCAATAAGAAGAGCCAGTGCATATAAAATATAGTAACTACACTTGCTAGGGTCTGACGATGTGGTGATTATTAATCCCTTTAGAATATCTTCCCAGTTACAATCAAGAATTTGATATAAAACTCTTATGAATGAGCAACAGATTCGGATGAATACACTACCAGATTTAACTCCATTTGATTCCATATCCCCTTATGTAGCATCGATATCAATCACAGGTCTTAAAGGCTTTTGACCATTAATACATTCATGAATTCTGGGTAAACCATATACTTCGGAAATGTCGTCTGCAACAGAAAACTTCAGAGCCCAATTAGCGTCTTGGTCAATTTTGATAACCAATTTATTTTTCACTTCATCCCGATCATAAGCATTATATAAACTAGACCCCTTTTCATTCAAAAAGAGGAATGAATAGATTGGAAGGCAATCTAATAAGCCTTTATCATTTGACATATCTCTAAGCGGTGATGAAAGAATTTTCTGAATACTATTTAGCAGGTCCTTAGGAGTGAAGTTGTTATTAAACTTTTCTTGTCTTGGTAACGGAAATGATGGAGCCACGGTAGTGCTGGTTGAAGCGCAGAAAACTTCTTCACTATCTGATTCGCAATTGGATTCATGGTTATTATAATCATCTGATCCGCAATCAGATTCATCATTATAGCTATCTGAGTCGCTCAAGTATTTATTGGGGCCAGCGCCGTCATAGCGGGCAGTTCTGGTGTGATTAGTTTGGTTGAAAATAGTTGGTGTATGCATGATGTTAGTTCGAAAAGTTATACTATCTCTATAAAATTTAGAAATGTTTAATTTATTTTTTTGGTGGTTGCAAAAAGAGATGTATAGCAAACTAGTAAGCAAAACAAAAATAAAAGGCAAGCGGATGGTATCTGAAAAAGTGTAGTCTTCTTCGTAATCTATTATATAAAAATTGGAAGAAGACTACACTTTTCTAGATATATACTCAGGTATATGTAAACACTTAGTGTAACCTTCTGCGTAATCATTATATAAAATATTGGCAGAAGGCTACACTTTTCTAGATATGTACTCAGGTATATGTGGGTATAGCCTCCGCGGACTTATCTTACCTAGATATATACCTGGATATAATATGAAAGCTTCTTCGGAAATATTAGCACTTGGCTTCTCTATCACTAGTATGAATTTGGGTAAGTGGTATATTTCCTTTGGCTCAAATATGGCTAAAAACATGCCAGAAATACAATATAAATGCGCTTAAATATTTCAAACTTTGGGACGCGAAATCATCATACCTGGAAGAAGACTACCTTAATACTAGTATGTATCCGGGTATATGTGGGTATAAAGCTCCGAACGGTTCGGGCTAAACCGGGGAACCGATCCGAAACTGGCTCAAAATTCGGTTCGGTTCGGTTCGGGTATTAGAACCGAAAAACTGGCGGTTCGATTCGGTTTAATCCGATTTTTATAAAAATGCGAAAAATCGAATAGCCGGCCATCTAGTGATCATACAAGGTCGAGCCATATATCATTGGATTTGTCTCGACGAGACGCATCGAATGGTGGTAAAATCATGTCTTTAGCATCGATAGATCACACGTTAACCCACGCTAAATTATTTATAAATAATTGGAATTAGCAAGCTATCTATCGGTGCTAGAGACATGATCTTAGCACCATTCGACGCGTCTCAGTGAGACGAATCCAATGAATATAAATTCGTTCGTGTACGACCACTGGATGGCGAATAATATCAAGTTTCGCATTTTTTTGAAATGTTAGAGCGTTAAAAATTAGAAATTCCGATACATGAATTTATTCGTCGTCCAATGGTCGTACAAATATGATTTAGGACTCATTGGATTCGTCTCGATGAGACGAGTCGAATGGTGGTAAGATCATGTCTCTAGCACCGATAGATAGCTTGCTAATGCCAAATATTTATAAATCATTTAGCGTGAATTAACTTACGATCTATTGATGCTAGAGACATGATCTTACCACCATTCGACTCGTCTCATTGAGACGAATCCAATGAGTCCTAATTCATATTTGTATGACCATTGGACGACGAATAAATTACTGTATCGGAATTTCTAATTTTTAACGCTCAAAAATTTCAAAAAAATGCGAAACTTGATATTATTCGCCATCCAGTGGTCGTACACGAACGAATTTATATTCATTGGATTCGTCTCACTGAGACGAATCCAATGATATATGGTTCAACTTTGTACGATCACTAGATGGTCGGCTATTCGATTTTTCGCATTTTTATAAAAATCGGATTAAACCGAACCGAACCGCCAGTTTTTCGTTTCGGTTCTTACGGATTTTGGCTCTAATCCAAACCGTCTATAATCCGGACCAAACCGACCCGTTCAGAGCTTTATGTGGGTATTTAGAGTAAGCTAGTATGGATCCGGATATATACGACAAATATTGGATATTTAGACCTGGGTAGCAAATCATAAATGAAAGGGAAGCAGATATGTATCTGAAAAAATGAAGCCTTCTGCGGAATTATATTATATTAAAAATGGCAGAAGGCTTCACTTTTCTAGTCATGTACTCGGGTATGATATGACAACTAGGGTAGTCTTCTTCAAAATTATATAATATAAAAATGGAAAAAGACTACTCTATCACTAGTGACGCTCAAAAAAAAATAGCATACACACCGCCTCGACCCAGTTTAGACTATGATCAGGTCTCAGAAGTGCTTATAACATCCCGCCAATATACTGGTAACAAATAGGATTGCAGGATGACGCATTTTTTAACAATCAAATAGACCGGCTATGATACTGGCTTCGATCTCTCAAATCATGTGCCTAAAAATCGGCTGGCACATCCCAGTAGTCAAATAACTCGGTCATGGTCCCTCAAAAGTTGCGAGAAAGTTATGAGAAAGTGCCAGGAAAGTGCCTGGAACTTAAGGCGCAATAAAGTTTTGTTTAATTTTGGCCAGTACTATTCCATAATTTCAGCTAGAACTTTGGATATAATAACTCGGCATTCAAACTGGCCTGAAACTAGCAAACTAATAGAAACACTCAGGTTTCTTGCCAGCCAGTTCCATGACAGCACCGGGATACTATCAGGTCACTATCATGGAGCCAAGTTGACATGCTCTAAATATCGGCCAGAATTAAGACATAGTGTTGGCCAAAATTAATCACGAATTTACATCAAAATACGGCGCCTAGTGTTCCGAAAAAAAACCGATCTGATTCGTATCCGCGGATCTGATCTGAAACGGATCGGATCAGATCAGCTTTTTTATGATCCGTGATCCGATCTGAATCAAAAAAATTTGATCTGTTTTGGATCGAATCGAATCGGATCAGTTATTCATTCAAATCGGATCAGATCAGATCAGATTCGAACGGATTCGGATCGGATTTGGATTGGATCCAAATCTTAGAAAATAAAAAACGTTTTTGCGCAATGTTTTTTATTAAGACAATTAAAAACCGTTGCGAAATGGTTCTTTTTAGTTAAATAAACCGTTTCGCAACGATTTATATTAAAATCATTAAAAAACTGTTGCGAAACGGTTTTTTTTAGTTAAATAAACCGTTTCGCAACGGTTTTTTTTAGTTAAATAAACCGTTTCGCAACGGTTTTTTTTAGTTAAATAAACCGTTTCGCAACGGTTTATATTAAAATTGTTAAAAAAACCGTTGCGAAATGGTTCTTTTTTGTTAAATAAACCGTTTCGCAACGGTTTTTATTAAAATTATTTAAAAACCATTGCGAAACAGTTATTTTAAGTTAAATAAACCATTTCGCAACGGTTTATATTAAACTCATTAAAAGAAACCGTTGCGAAATGGTTCTTTTTAGTTAAATAAACCGTTTCGCAACAGTTTATATTAAACGCATTAAAAGAAACCATTGCGAAACGGTTCTTTTTAGTTAAATAAACTGTTTCGCAACGGTTTATATTAAAATCATTGAAAAACTGTTGCGAAACGGTTCTTTTTAGTTAAATAAACCGTTTCGCAACGGTTTTTATTAAACCAATTTAAAAAACCATTGCGAAATGGTTATTTTTAGTTAAATAAACCGTTTCGCAACGGTTTATACTAAAATAATTTAAAAAACCGTTGCGAAACGGTTCTTTTTAGTTAAATAAACCGTTTCGCAATGGTTTATATTAAATTCGTTAAAAAACTGTTTCGCAACGGTTTTTTTTCAAATAAAAAATGTTTCGCAACAGTTTTTTTTCAAATAAAAAATGTTTCGCAACGGTTTTTTTTCAAATAAAAAACGTTTCGCAACGTTTTTTATTAAATAAATCTTTAAAAAAACGTTGCGAAATGTTTTTTTAATTTCTGATTCGGATCGGATTCGGATCGGATCGGTTTTATCCGAATTGGATTCAGACCGAATCGAATCAAGCTTATTTTGGATTCGGATCGGATCGGATCCAATTATTTTTGATCCGAATTCAGATCGGATCGGATCCAACTTTTTTTGATCCGAATTCGGATAAGATCGGATTCATCTCAAATCCGATCTGATTCGATCCGTTCGGAACACTAACTGCGTCACCCGTCACTTTTTTACACTATTTCGGCATTTAGAAAGGCAACCAAATAGGCGTGAATTCTTAATAAAGAATTAGTATCCAAACTAACATAGAAGGCTGACATCCTCATTATAGAACTAGGTATTCAAAGAAGACTAGAAAGCCAGAACCAACAATATAGATTTTATTATGTAAACGGATTAGGAACAAGAAGAAAGCAGTCACTATTAGATCATGACATCACCATTAAAATAAAGCACTACCAGTTACCATTAGACTATGAAGTTATCACTATATTATACAGGAAACAGTTGAAACAATGTTATAAACGTAAAGGAGCTACCCATAAGTAGGTTATAAAGTTCCTACCAGATTATGAATAATAGGTTATGAAGTTACCACTAGATTATGAAATTAGATTATGAAGTTACCATTATATTATGAAGTTACTGGTAGACTATGAAGTTACCTATAGATTATGAAGTTACCGGTAGACTATGAAGTTACCTATAGATTATGAAGTTGCTTTCATAACCTAGTCTAAGTCACCGGTAACTTCATAATATAATTATATCATGAAGTTACCAGCGACTCGCGCAATTATATAGATTCAGTAATACATGTCTTAATTGACAACTTTTAGTAATTCTTATTAATATAAATAGACAAATAAGAAATAGAAAATCAATGTAATACATGTAATACATTAAATTAAATTGAGTATTTTGGTATCTATTTCACGTAAAAATCACGTGAGTACATTTATAGAAAATTACACTATATAATTGAATTAAAAAAATTATTACATGTGTAGAATATGAAGGGTGTGCATTTAGCATTAAGTCCCAAGTTGGAACCAGGCAAAAGGATGCATTTGTAGAGGGTGTGCATTTATAGAGGGTGCATTTATACAGAGTTGACTGTATTATACTAACAAAACAATATTCAGGTATAGATATTTTTTCAGTCAGTTAATATTTTACACCCTTTTTTTTCATGATTATTCAGAAGAAGTGATGCTAATTCTGAAGTAATTTTTATTGATTTGCAAGAGGATTAGCAGAATGATAAAATGTGGCATTTTCTTTTTTATATTTCAGATGGAATTTCCTACATGAATAGAAATTCACTCAATATTCGTTTTGTTGAGATTACTTTGGAAGAAGATTCGAAAGATGAAAAGGAATTATGTAAAAATGTAAAGCAAATGATGGAAATTATTGTTGGGTTATTGAGAGAAAAAAGGGTAGATATTGAAAATGAGCTTAAGAATAAAAAGGTTAGGGACTTAGGGTCCAAGAATACCTTAGAAAAAATAATTATAGCGTTATTCTGTAATCATATATTAACATAGAAAATTCATCATATATCACAGGCAAAGTCTCAAACTTTGTATTTATTTTTATCTCTGTATTAATAAAGCAAGTTTTTACATTTGCTACACAACATTAAATAATTCCTGTCTTATATAAAAATATTATTATCAGATATGCAACCTGAAATTGATTCATTATAACAAGAAAAAGTTAAGTTTTGGTTAAGAATATCAAGCTTGAAACTGAGTATGCTAAGCTTAAGGCTAAAAATGTTAAGTATATTAAGCTTAAAACTAAGATTGCTAAGTTTGAGGCAGAAGAATATGCTGAAAATGAGGCAAATATAGCAAAACTTAAAAATGGTTTGCAATATATATTCAATCCTTTTTGAGCGCATTGAGGTTGCAATTCATAAGCTTAAGACTAGGAATGCAAAAATAAAAAGAAATTAGAATTTAAGAAAAATCAAAAATTTCAGTTAAGATGTATCCAAATAGCTAAGAAAATTCTTAATGAGCAGCCAATAATCAAATATCATCCTTCTTTCTTGAATGGATTAGAGCTTGATGTAATCTTTTAAAAATATCGAATCGCATTGAAGGTGCAAAAGGCTTAGTATTGGCTTTATAGCACTAGCTGGTATCGTGATCAGTTAAAAAGATGCATATGTCAAGATAATGGAATTTTTTTTCTTGAAGTATGGTATGATTAAAAACATGATGTTATTATTTCTGAAAGATTAAGGAATTCATTGATCAAACATCTAAAAGATTTGATCTCTTGTAATCAATAACTTATAATACATGTAATTTTATATTTAAATTGTTACAAAATTAGAACAGATTAGTATTCATGGACCTTTAGCTCAAATCAGTCTCTTATTTTTTCCATACCTTATCTCTTAATGAGGCATTAGAAACGTATTCTGAGAACTAACTGTAGAAATATAAATAATTATTGTCTAATAATTATCTAACGCGATATATAGTATGAGTATTCAAACCAAGTGAAAAAAGGACTACCTGAAGTGCTATTTTGTGTTTAGGCAAAAATTTTTTGTACAGTATTCAAACTGATTAAATATAAATAGAAATCATAAAATATGTCAAATTGCCTTTATCTTATTAAACCTTTTACCAGTACCTTTATACAACGAAAAATTATTTGGAAGATCAATCAAACTTTCTAAATGCATGGTTATATTTTCATATACAAGTTTCAAGAGCAATTTTTACTTTATACATAATGCCAATTCTACTGTAAACTGTATAAATGATCTTCACATGATCATATAAACTGCGCAAGGGTGCTAAATAATAATATTATTAGTGTTCCTCATGAGTCATGAGTCAAGTTAAGTCAAGTTTTAAATCAATTTTTTATATAATAAAATTTGTCTTACACTAATTTTTATAATACTTTAACCTATACATGTTGCCGAAATATTTCGGCTATTTCGCCCACATGACAAACTCTTCAAAGCAAAATCATCTGATTTCATAGATCTGGCTGAAATTAGGCTTCAAATAGGTTAATCCGGGTCTGAAGAACCTATGAAAGAACTTTTGAGGAATTTCGACCAACTTACATAATTTCGGCAGGGCTCTGGAATTTCGGACAACCTATATTTAATATATGGCCAAAACTTTAAAGTCCGATTCGAAATTATTACAGATTATGCCGAAATTTTCTGAAGTCTGCTAAAAGTTGCTGCAGATCTGGCCCAAATTATCTGAGGTTTAAAAAATTTTATTGATATATCTACAAGTAGCTATATTTTGGAGCCGAAATGCGGCCGAAATTGAAAAAAAGTTTC